AGCTAAGGGCCATGAGCAAGCCATGCTTGTTAGCAATTTAAAATTATAGCAGAGAAGGAATCGTGAGAGTAAAAGAACTAAGAGCCAAATCTGTTAGCAGAGGAAGGGCAATCAAGCAGGTCTGACAAGAGAAGCAAAGACTCAGAGGCTGAGGGGCTGGTCAGGAAAGAGCCAAGGCCCAGACCTGTGTCAGGAAGGCCCGGGTGTGTTAGGCTCACCATCTGTGCTCATGGGCACCCTTACAACACCGGCCAAGCCCTTCACAGCTGGCTGCAGGGAACACATGTGCCGCCGCTCCCAGAGCCTGACTTCCCCAGAGCTCGTTGGGTTTCCTTCTGGACATGCACTGGATGCGGCTGCAGCACAGAATAGGAAAAGGTGAGCCCACTGGAGAAACACTTCATTAAAAGCAAGAGGACATGCTTTCAAGTATTCAAATGATAATGCAGACCTGTTCACCAAGAGGCCATAACAAGCAGGGTACAGTCTTCAGACAGGAGGCAGAAGAAGGTGGGCCCAAGAAAACGACCAGGCTTGATGACATCTGCAGTTCAGTTCAGTCACTCAGTCGTGTCCGACTCTTTGCAACCCTGTGGACTGCAGCACGCCAGGCCTCCCTGTCCATCACCAACTCCCAGAGCCTACCCGAACTCTTGTGCATTGAGTCAGAGATGCCATCCAACCATCTCATCCTCTGTCATCACCTTCTCCTCCTGCCCTCAATCTTTCCCAGCATCAGGGTCTTTTCCAATGAGTCAGTTCTTTGCATCAGGTGGCCAAAGTATTGGAGTTTCAGCTTCAGCATCAGTCCTTCCAATGAATATTCAGGACTGATCTCCTTTAGGATGGACTGGTTGGATCTCCTTGCAGTCCAAGGGACTCTTAAGAGTCCCCGTCATCATAAGGAGGAGAAAAAACTTGTTCTTTTTTTAAATGTGTAGTAATCCTGAACAATGGTGACTGAAGGATGGCCAAGGCATCTACTGAGAGAGGGGTGGAAGACAAGGGGTGCTGAGGGGGGCAGGAGACATAGGTGGAGGTTTCTCAGTGTAGAGAGAGTTCACACAGACAGGAAAAAAACCGAGGCGCTCAACCACCAGAGAGCCCTGTAACTCTCCCATTCCTCGCCTCTGTCACCAGGACGTGCAGATCTGAGCAGGTGGGCCTTAGGGCAAAACCCGCCACGCATCACACACACCCCAGCCCACTCCAGCCCAGCCTCTGGCCGCATCCCTAGGCCAAGTTCACGGCCTCCAGGAAGGCTTGGGTGTCCTTACGGACCAGGTGGCCACAGCCATCCTTTCCCCACGGCGCCCCCGACCTCGCCCCCCGCGTAGCTGACTGGTGTGGGACCAGGAGCAGAGCTGAACCCCATCAGCAGCTGGCTGACGGGAAGCAGGCGGCTGCAGGGCACCAATGTCTGCCCCCCTCAGCCTCCTCTAAAGCAAGCCACCTGCTTCCTGCCCTCCCGGCCGGCCAAGGTCTCCCCACACAGGAGAACCGGCTCCAAAACCACCTGGAGGAACCACAGCCTTGGCGCTGCCTCCGCGTCTATTTGCTGTTTACTCAGGAGTCTGTGGAATGCAGACTCATTTTCCACCGAGAGGAGGCAAAGTAAAGACTGCCCCAAATCAAAACAGATTCCTGTCGTTTCCTGTTTACTCAGCACCACTGCTCTGGGCCCCGGGCCAGGAGGCCCACTAGGACCGGTGGGCCCAGCAGCCCCCTCCAGAAAGCACTGGAAGAAGAAGAACTTTCCTCCCGTGTTTCTGTTCGCCTTCCTCTGGTGGCAGGCGGGTTCATCTGGGGGGGCGGAGGGGGTCTGCTGGCTTAACTCCCAAACCTCCCTTTTCTCTCCCTGCTTAGAGGCATGCCGTTTGCTGGGATGAGATGGTGGGATGGCATCAGCGACTCAGTGGACATGCGTTTGAGCAAACTCTGGGAGCTGGTGAAGGACAGGGGAGCCTGGCGTGCTGCAGTCCATGGGGTCGCGAAGAATCGGACAAGACTGAGCGACTGAACAACAAGCTGTTGGGTGCTTGCCTGGCTCTGACACCCCATTTTTCTGTTTATAGAGCAGAGCTTGTGTTCCCTGGCCTGCTGGGCCTAGAGGGAAGAGGTGGAAGAAGCAGGTGACACTCACAAACGGACGGCAGAGAAAGTGAAAGTGTTAGTCGCTCAATTGTGTCCGAGTCTTGGCCACCCCACGGGCTGTAGCCCATCAGGCTCCTCTGTTCATGGGATTCTCCTGGCAAGAGTGGGTCTCCATTCCCTTCTCCAGGGATCGAACCCGAGTCTCCTGAATTGCACGTGGATTCTTTACCGTCTTAATCAGCAGGGACACTAAAAGGATGGCAGAAAGAGGGGACTTGGGGCCTGCCACCACCAAGGCCTCACATCTTCCTTCAGGAAAATGCTCCTGAGAGAGAGTGGTGAGAACTGCAAAGCCTCAGGTGACCAGACGGGAGAAGCTCTTCCAGACGGACTGAGCAGAAGCGCTCAGACGTCGGGTCTAACACATGTGCGACTTGAGTCCTTTCTGGAAACCACGGGGACGTCAAGTACGTGTGGGAGAAGGTCCGACTGGCGAGGCGGCTGCCTCGGGTGGGCCAGGGTGGCCTCTAGACACAACCCACATGCTGAATGTGTTTTCTCGGTCCAAAAGCAATGAGAACAGCTCCACTTCCTTCATTTCTGCACCACCACAATACAAATCATGGGAAAATATTTATCCCAAGGCCAGAGACACTCCACAAGCAGCGCCTTGGCGCTCCAACCTATCAAGAGAAATTGCCGCAGGCAAACCCGAGCTTGTTAACTGACTTTCATGAATGATTGAAACAGCAGAGCAGATTTATTTCATTTCCATAATTTAAAAATTGACAATTACACACTTATCTTCCTAAAACCATCAGGATGAAAATCATCCTCTTCTGGAGAAGTGAATTAAAGTTACAAAAAGCTAAACCAACATGCTATTGTCGTGGGCTGAATTGTGTCCCCCTTCCACCCAACCAGGGATTCCCTGGTGGATCAAATGGAAAAGAATCTACTTGTAATGCAGGAGACCTGAGTTCGATCCCTGGGCTGGGAAGATCCCCTGTAGGAGGGCATGGCAACCCACTCCAGTATTCTTGCCTGGAGAATCCCCATGGACAGAGGAGCCTAGTGGGCTACGGTCCATGGGGTGGCAAAGAGTCGGACAGGACTGAGTGACTAACAGTAGCTGCCCCTGGAAAATACACTCAAGTCCTACACCCCACTACCTCAGAATGGGGCTGTATTTAGAAATAGGGTTTATTTTTTAATTTATTTGGCCGCGCTGGGTCTTAGATGTGGCATGAGAGATCTAGTTCCCTGACCAGGGATCGAAACCAGGTCCCCTGCATTGGAAGCACAGAGTCTTAACCCCTGGACCACCAGGGAAGTCCCAGAAATAGGGTCTTGACAGAGGCAGTCAAGTTAAAAATGAGGTCATTAGCGTGGGCCCTGATCTGATATAGACTGCCCTGGTGGCTCAGATGGTAAAGTGCCTGCCTACAATGTAGGAGACCCAGGTTTGATCCCTACGTGGGGAAGATCCCCTGGAGAAGGAAATGGCAACCCACTCCAGTACTCTTGCCTGGAGAATCCCATGGACAGAGGAGCCTGGTGGGCTACAGTCCACGGGGTTGCAAAGAGTCGGACATGACTGAGCGACTAAACTTTCACTTTTCTTTCACTGATCTGATATGACTGGTGTCCTTATAAAAACAGGAAATTTAGACACAAAGAGGGAAGACACACAGAGGAAGACTGTGAAGACAGAGATGGGAGAAGACAGCCATCTACAAGCTTAGGAGTGAAAGCCTCAAGCCACCAGGAGCTGGGAGAGATGCGAAGACCAGAGCCTTCCTCGGGGCCCTCAGAAGCAGCTGACTCTCCCCACGCCTTGACCTCAGACTTCTAGACTCCAGGACTATGAGATGATACATTTCTAGTTGTATGCCCCTGGTCCCCTGGTCCTTTGCCAGCTGCCCTGGCAAACCAACACAGGGACTTGCGTCTCCTTCAGCTCCCAGCACATGCCCTGTGCCCTGTGACTGGGGAATCAGCCATGGAGAGAACCGTGCTGGGGAGAAGACCCCTCCCACACTTCCACCATGGAAGCTGAAAGGCAAGACCCCCTTGTCCCCCACCTCTGGCAGTTGACACTTCCTCCAGAACATTGGGTCTAAAGCAAGGGCCCATTAAAAATGTCTTTTTTTGCCACCAGCAGGGGTGGCATCCAACATCCAGTTGTGAAGGTGCCAGCGACGCTACCCAGCATTTGCCGGAGGCCTGACCTGGGCCATTTGGTTTCATTTGCATCCTGTGTTTTTCCCATCCTGACCCTGCAGGCTCTCCCCAACTGATCCTAGGAGCCCCCAACAGATTAGTGCAAATCAACCGAGAGCCAAGTGTGGGCACAACTCCTTAACGGGCGTTTCGATTCCTGCCTGACCACGGACTCCTGATGTCTGCTCTCGGTGTATTCAAAGGCAAAGCCTTTGCCTCTCTCCTCTCCTGTTTTCTGCCAACTACCCGTTTTAGTGGTATCCCTGTGCTCCCTACCCCTGGCTGGGCCTCGGGGTGGCCTCCAACTCCAACCTTGGCTGACAGCCAGCATCCCAGCTTCCCCATCTCCCTAGGCCCCCCAGCCGCAGACTTTGTTCCACGTCCTCCCCAACTTCCCACCTGAAGTACCCACCCCCGCCCACCACCAGATTCCCCCCTAGTCAACCCGGACCAGCTGTCTTCACTTTTTCTGCTGCCCCGCCTGCTTGGTGCACAGTGTGGGCTGGGGGAGGCCCGAGAGGAAGGATAGATGGAAAAGGCCTGATTCTGTCCCTACCTTTCCCACCTTCATGCTTTGCCCGGATGCCACACCTGCCCTCATCGCCCTCCCAGCCCTACTCCCAGTTGGAATCTATCCATCCTCCAAGGCCCATCCTGAACACATGAAGACTTCCATTATTTCATCAGCCAGATGTGTTCCTTCCCTCCCTTCTACACTTTATTTTATTATTATTTTTTATTTTTGTGCATGTGTGACTTGGGTTGTTCCGCTTTGAGTCACGGTCATCTTTGTGCTCATCTGACTTCTGGTATTCAATGTCAGCTTTTTGTGGAACGCGACTTGCCCTGGACTCGTCTCCAATGCCACCACCATCATCTCCCACTGGATGAGCGCCGCAGACTTGTAACCGGTCACGTGATGGTGTTGGTTTAGTCACTAAGTTGTGTGTGAATGGTATGACCCCAGGGACCGCAGCCCACCAGGCTCCTCTATCCATGGGATTTCCCAGGCAAGAGTACTGGAGTGGCTTGCCATTTCTTCCTCCAGGAGATCTTCCCCATCCAGGGCTCGAACCCTCATCTCCTACATTGCAGGTGGATTCTTTACCACTGAGCTACCTGGGTAGCCCACAGGAGAGCCCAAGTCAGATGACCGGATGTGGTCTGACATCCCAAAGGCCCCTCCTGCCTTCTTCTCTCATCTCCCCAGCCTCACGGCCTCCTCCCTGCTCCTCGAACACACCTCTGCACATGCTGTTCTCTCTCTGCCAGGCTAGTTCCAGAAGCTTCTCTTAAGTCTTGCTCACATGTTCCCTCCACAAGGAGGCCTCCTCTGACCACATGATTTCACGTAACCCACCCCACCTCCATCCAGCACTCATAGTTCCCATTACCTCTTTCTCTTCACACCATGGCTCGCCTCCTAAAACACTGTATAGTGGATGTGTTCATCACACTTAGTCTTCATTGCCTGCCTCTCCACCCCCATCTGCCACGTCGTGAGCGCCTCGGGAACAGGATCTCTCTTATGCTCACCGATACACCCTGTGTGCCTGGTACGTGGTAGATTCTGAATAAATATTTGTTTCATAAACGAATCTCTGTATTTTGCACACACACAGCTATGACAGTCACTAGGTTCCCAAATCATGCTACATTTTTTTTTCCCCAAGCATAACTGCCTGGTTGCTTGGCTGCTCGTCCCTGCGCTGCCATGGAAACCAACAGCCCAGGGACAGGTTGCTTCTTATCAAGTCAGGCAACGTGAATCACCGCCCCCCGAGACCCCACAGATGTGTGCCTGTGCCCTCCACAACCCAGGGCTCGGCTGCCGTGGCCGGTCAGCTGGAGGCACCCAGGATGCCCCTGGGACCAACACCCCACCCTGCTCAGCAGGTGGCCTCGGGATTTCCCCTGGGGGGTGGGGGGGAGCCCCGTGCTGTGAGCAGTGGAGACTCCAGGGAGGATTCACCCCTGCCTGAAGTGTGCCCACGCAGACCACACATTCCAGATGTCCCCACCTCCTTGCCCAGGCATCGTTTGTCTCTATCCCCGATACGAGCAGGCATTTATGGAGCAGCTACTATGGATGAGGCACTTGATGTATGTTACTTCCAAGCCTCACAGCTTTGCAAAGGACCTGCGATTCCTCTCCCATCACAGATGGCGGGACTGAAACTCAGGGATTCTAACCAGCCTCACTTTACTTAGGTCACAGAGCAAATCAGAGGTAGGTGGAGTGGAATCCAGGCGCCAAACCCTGCAGACTTTTCACACACCCAGCTGCTCCCACCTTCTCTCTTCTCTGCGCTCCACAGCCACCTCGTCTCAGACCCTGCGCCTGCAGAAGGGGGCAGAGGGGGAGTGCTGGGGACCCAACGGTCGCCAAAACCCTGGCGCGGGCACGTCACACACACACTCAGCTCAATGTGGCTTAGGGAACATTGGATCACCCGAGTGGTTTCGAGGCTGAGCTCTCTCTGGAGGTCTTTAAAAACTAACAACAAATAAAAGATAATGCCTTCTCTCTGGAATGACGTAGGTGTGGTCATGCCTTTTAAAAGCAGAGATTAGTTGACCCCTAATCATCCCGTTTAGCTTTATGACCATGATGAACCGTTACTGGACAAGGGGACTCGCTGCTTGGAACATTACTAAATCTGTTTTTAATAATGTCACCAACCGAGGACCAAACCCTGACCCATCGCTCCAGTAAAGGTCCATGATCGCTGGAGAGAGCGCTGGGTCACGGAGGGCGGGGGCGGATGAGCGGGGACAGGCTGTTTGTTCCCAGCAATGGGACTCGGTGAGTCATAAACCAGCTCAGAGAGGGGTGGAAAGCTTGGAGATTTATCTCAGATGAGGGCCGAGGAACAAAGAAGAAAACAATGGCAACAAGACCAGAGCTGCAAAGATAACAGCCCAGCCTGAAAATTGCTCGGGAAAGAGTTGTCATCGGGATCTATGGATAATGTGCAAACCACAAACACTCCCAGTGTGTGTGTGACGATCCGACAAATTTGTCTCGGGCTATGTCAAAAGCAACCAAGCACCTATTATGTGACTCCGAGATTAAATATTAAATTAAACATTAAATCGAAGGTCCATCAGGTCCGCTGGTAGGAGCTGAGAAACAAGAAGGACCTACAAGGGAGAACAGGACCCAGGAGCCACCTTCCAGGAGCAACACAAGCGCATTTCTCTTAAGATGTTTGAAAATGTGTCAGCATCTGCAGGCCTGGCCTCCAGATTCCAAGCAGAAAATCCCATTGATCTCAGCCCTTTATTCCAAAACAGTCCTGGCCCATGATGGAAACGCTGAAGGACTGAGGAAGAAAGTCATCTGCTGTCTCGTGTTCCTTACCCAAACCAGCCTGGGGCCGGGTAGAAGGCTGACAGCAAGCAGAGCCGACGTGCCGGGGGTGCTGAGTGCTGGGGCAGCCGCTGACGAATGTTGGCGACACCCAGGCGGGGGGACCACAGAGCAACACCATGGTTGTGACGGGGAGGGCTGGCGGCAGGGCGACAATGTGGAGCACGTGTGGCGGCCGTGCGATTTTAAAATGCTCCCAGGCCTTCTGGCCACAGCCTCGCTCCAGGAGTAGGCAGCTCAGTTCTAGAAAGGGTCTTCACGTCTGAAATTCTACCCTTTGAGTCCTGTTTATGAAAGTGAAAGTCGCTCAGTCGTGTCTGACTCTTTGCAACCCCATGGACTATACAGTCCATGGAATTCTCCAGGCCAGAATACTGGAGTAGGTTGCCTTTCCCTTCTCCAGGGGGATCTTCCCAACTCTGGAATTGAACCCAGCTCTCCTGCATTGCAGGCAGATTCTTTACCAGCTGAGCCACAAGGAAGCCCAGTCCTGTCTGTATTGGTTAGTTAACACTGTGTAACAAAGTACTCTAAAACTTAGGCATTTAAACACCAAGGACTGATGTTGAAGCTGAAACTCCAATACTTTGGCCGCCTGATGCGAAGAACTGACTCATTGGAAAAGACCCTGATGCTGGGAAAGATTGAGGGCAGGAGGAGAAGGAGACAACAGAGGATGAGATGGTTGGATGGCATCACTGACCCAATGGACATGAGTGTGAGTAAACTCTGGGAGTGTGATGGACAGGGAGGCCTGGCGTGCTGCAGTCCATGGGGTCACAAAGAGTCAGGCACGACTGAGCGACTAAACTGAACTGAACTGAGAACTTCCCTGGTGGCGCAGTGGACAAGAATCAGCCTGCCAATGTGTGGGACACACATTCAATCCCTGGTCCCGAGAAGATTCCACCTGCTCCTGAGCAGTTAAGCCCATGCGTCATAACTACTGAACCCATGCACGCTACAGCCTGAGCTCTGCAACCAGAGAAGCCACTGCAATAGGAAGCTCCAGCACCACAATGAAGAGTAGCCCCCATCCGCCACAACTAGAGAAGGCCGGAGCACAGCAACAAAGACCTAGCGTAGGGCAGCCAAAAAATTAATTATTAAAAAAAATAAATACACAAAATAAATACCGATATCCATCAATTATCTCTCATCATTTCTGTGCATCAGGAATCTAGGCGCAGCTTGGCTGGATGGTTCTGTCTCAGAGTCTCTCATGAAGTTACAGTTGGGTTCCCGTTAAGGTGGCAGTTACCTACAGGCTTGGCTGGGAATGGAGGATCCACTTCCAAAGTAGTTCACACACGTGGCAAACTGGTGCTGGGCTGTTGGCCTAGGGCTTCTGTTCCTGCCTGTGTGGGCCTCTCCATAGGACCACAGGAGTCTCCTCCTGGCATGGAGGCTGGCTTGCTCCAGAGCAAGCTATCCAAGGACCAAAGCAGAATCTGCAATGCCTTCTGACATAGCCTTGAAAGTCACCCATAGTCACTTCTACCATGGTCCAGTCCTCACACAGGCCAGCCCTGATCTGGTGTGGAGAGGGGCTATACAAGGTGTGGATACCTGAGGGCGAAGGTCATTGAGAGCTTTCTTGGAAGCCAAGGAGCACACTGCCTTTTGTGACATCAAGTCATCTCCCTGAGTTGAAGTAAATGGGCCTCTGGTTTCAAGCCTGAGTTAGAATTGGAGCTGGGTAGCTGTGCTGCCCACATGTCATTTTTTAAATTTCCTCTGCCTCAATTTTTCATCCGGAATGTGGGTCTAATGATACTGTCGTGGGGATTCAAGGATTAGGTTAAGTAACTGTCTTTGTTGGCTTGGGCTGCCATCACAAAATATCATTGATTGGGTGACTTAAACAGTAGATACTTATTTCTCATAGTTCTAGAGGTGGGAAAGTCCGAGATCAGGATGTCAGTGCGGTAGGTTTTATTCTAAGGCTTCTCTTGGTGTGCAGGTAGCATCATCTCGCTGGTGCTCTTTGTGTGAGCAAGGAGAGAGAGTGTCAAGCAAGCTCTCTGGTGTCTCTCCTTAGAGGGGCACGAATCCCAGCATAGGGGCCCCACCCTTCTGACCTCATCTAACCCTAATTAATGCCCAAGGGCCTCATCTCCAAATACCATCACATTTGGGGGGCTAGGGCTTCAACATACGAATGAGAGAGTTGCGAGCAGGAAAAAGCTTTCAGTCTACAGCAGTAATGTACACTGAGGAGTCCCTGTGAGCCAATTGCTAATTCCCTGACCCTCATCACCTCCCTCAACCCTCCTTACAGCCCAGCAGGGTGGCGCGAGCAAGGCCAGCTTCATGGCTAACAGCCCAGCTTGGAAACGACCTGCCTGACATACAGAACAGGCCAGCCAGGATTTGTCATTACTTGCTCTACTTTATAAATAACATGAAGTTGCTCAGTCGTGTCCGACTCTTTGCGACCCCATGGACTGTAGCCTCCCAGGCTCCTCCGTCCACGGGATTGAAATAAAAGAAGACAAGAAACTTGCCCGAGAGGTGAGCTGGGCCATCAGTCCAGGTTCCCAGACTCCAGGGTCTATACAGAGAGCACTTGGTGTGATTCCCCGCACAAGGCAGAGAGATGCAGAACGGGACACCCAGGAGAAG